AAGCAATACTTGCCTTTTTTTGTTGCTGAAGAATGTCAAAAAAAAATGATGATTGTTGGTCGTAGTAGAAGGGGTATGCTGAGCACATGGCATACATTTGTTTGGCAAACAGTTTCGTCTACAAAAACGGTCTTGAAAATGGCTAAAGCGGATGTTGCAGCAGTCTCTCAGAAGTGCGTATCTATTTAATCAATTCAATTTTTTTCCTCTCATCTATTTCGTCTCGTTACTGTACCAGTCTTCGTCTGACGTAACCTTTTCAAACGGTTGCCCTTTTCTTTCTTAGAAAAAAAAAAAAAAAGAAATGTAGTGAGCAGAATTATTTTTATTGTTTTATTTATTTATTTATTTATTTTTTGGAGAAGAGAAGGTGAAATGTAGTTTTAAAATTTCTTTTTTATAACCCATTTTTATTTCTTTCTTGACTTTTCTTGTTGTTGTTTCTGAGGCTAAAATCGATAGGTATGAGAACGCTAGAAGTGTTTTTTTTTCTACCTTTTTGATGTGATCGATCAGTTGGAGGATTTTTTATTTGCAAAGGTTTTTTAAGCAATTTTTTTAAAAATAGACAAATGTTAGCATGACTGATCGGAGTACTGTTTTTAGCTGCGAAACGTCGTGCGAGGTAACCGATGATTGTTCTAAGACGTCTTGTTTAACAGCTAAAAGGTTTTCTTTGGCTTACTTTTTTTTGGACGGCATTTTAGGTAGTGGATGCCTGTTACCGTCTTGAATTGTTAAAGTTAAAATCATTTTTGACCTTTAGTTTATTGTTCAGTCCCGTGGTAGTCCTTTATTGCAAAGATATTCATATTCCAAAGTTAGTGTTCAGTTGTTGTTAAACAGCTGCTGATCATGCGACGTAGATCACATAAATTATTTTTTGGCGTTCAACGACGATTACTGTGATCTATTACTAAATCGATAGTTTTCAGTCTTCTCCCATTTTTCCCTCTTGCTCCTTGTCCTTGTTATTGTCAGTTGACTAATTGTTGTTGTTATTAATATCATTATTGTTGTTATCGTTCTCCAAATTTCAAATACCAATTGGTGCCTAAGCGTTGAATAGCAATAGTCGTTCAAATGTAGCTTAATGGCGGAATATATCTGCCAATATTACACGATGCGGAAACTATCTAACAGCAATTTCGGCTTCCCAATAGCAAATTTGCTTTTTGTCCTCTACGATACATACATTAACTTTTCCCCTTTCTCTCCTGTCAAATGCGAAAACCGTAGAATGTCATGAAATAGGTTTTAAAGAAAAAAAAACAGCTGCTTTGTTTCTTCTATACGTTAAAGTCTATTGTTCACGGTTTTTTATAGGTACTTTGAGCGAGACGAAATTGATCGTATATCAGAGGAAGGCGAGGAACCGCTAAGTTACAATAGCAGACCTCCAAGAAGGTATATTATACTTTTTTCTTATTTCTTTCACATTAAACATTTTTTTACTTAGTGAATACAGAAATGAAGCTCTGCGACTCCAGGTTGCCATTCTGCAAATTTTTTTTGACTTCAAAAGGGAATAACTTATGGACAAGTAATGACATTTTTGACGTATAAAAAATTTTTTATTTTACAGTTTTTGATCGAAGAGCTAATTTTAATCTAAAGAGTTAAATTAATCAGCTTATTTTACCAAAAGACGGCAGCAAAAGTCTTTGTTCAATTTATTTTGATATTAAGCAGCTTTCAGAGTTTATTTTAAAAAATTTGCAGAAAAATTTTGGCATACTGAAGTTTTTCATTTGATCAGCGTTTAATTTAGCTGTTGCGAGAAAATTCTTTTGATAAGCAGAAAATGTAACTTTGAATTTCCAAAGTGTTGCTGCTGAGATTGGATAGTGGCTATAGGAGCCAAATGTCAACCAATAAAATGTTTCCGGTTGTTGCTATAAAGCTGCTAAAAATTAAAAGGCACTTTAATGTGCCTTAATTTGTATTTCTAGCAACTGTTTCAATTATCAGCCTCGCTCTTCTGTCTACTGATATTTGTTACGAATTCTAAAGATGCAAAACAAACGAAACTCATGAAACAGTAGTAAACAAATTTTTTTTTAGTCTAATTTTTAAAATAATACACTCAAAGAGCGAGAACTTCAGCATTCGGAAATCTTATTTGAACACTGAGGATTGTCAACAAGCAAATTAATAATATTGGTTTCAAAAGAGCAGTTTTTTAATAAAGTTCCAATATATTTTTGGCGTGCACATGAAGTGTATTTGAACTTTATATCATATTAATTCGTACCCAGCAAAAACGCAAAAACTCAGAACTTATTTTAACTTTTATAATTACTCTGGAGCTTTTTTAGTATATTTTCTCAATCGCTGAAAAGAAAATGAGTGAATTGGCTTCAAAAGAACTGTTATACACAAATTTTTCAGCCATTATGTTGGAATAATAATTTGTTGGTGATTCCAAACTTTGAGCGAATAAACAAGAA